AGAAGGCTATGGATCTGTATTGAATATGCATAGGTTTTATTCTTTTTGTCATTCTCCAGGCAATCCAGTGTACCAAACGCACATAGAATCTGCACTGCACTACACACTCTGAAGTCACGGCAAGGTGATTTAGGTATGCAAAAGATGGGCATACATTATGTACAGACACTACACTTTCTCCACTTTCTCATACAAGAAACTTGAGCATCTAGATTGTGATATTCACTGGGATTTTGGGAACCACTTTCTCTTGGACATCAAGGGCTAATTGCAGTAAAGTTCCATTAACATGACTTAACATGATGGAGAATAAAATTCTTATTTTTGACTCCAACATTCTCTGGGGACAGATGGTCACAGACACCTCATTTCTTCATGAACTCCTTCTCCACATCCACCCACCTGACAAAGGAGGAAACAATAGGTCATTCCTTCCTGTTCTTCAAGCTCCCTTGGCACTCCTGCTGTGGGTAAACAAACCCAGAGAAACCAAGAACTGCAGCCCAAGCTCTGAAGCTTTCCAAAACAGGACAGCTTAGGAAGAGACACAGAGGTTGGAGAACAGACATGAAAGGAGATGTCTGTCAGGGAAGCCACAAAGAAAGCTGCATCCAAACCATAATATACAAGAGATCCTTCTGAGATTAAATTAAGATACAGAACTAGGGAAACAAGATGATAAAGGGGCCAGATGCAAGAGCTGGAGCCTCCTTTTACAGTAGAGGCCGGACTCGAGGAAACTTGAAAGCATTCTGAATTTTAAAAACTAGAGCACGTTAGTATCATTACTTCTCACAGCAAAGATACAAAAGGGATGAAGCTTTACTCTTGGATGTAAAATTCAGGAGCCTCCCTTTGAGTGTGGGGTTCGGGGCAGGGATGCTCAGTCACAGAGCATCTCTGGTCTCTGCCCTCTAGTTCATACTGCTCTTGGTGTTCTAGAGCCTCCAGTTACAATGCCTATTTGAACATGTAGAAAATAAGTGATTTTTTCCCCTCTCCTAAATTGTTAATGTTCTCCAGACAACACACAAGTGTCCCCAAACGACAAATCCCAACGATCGGTGGCAACTATTGGCTGCTTCAGAAATTCATTCCCTTCAGGGAAGAAATGCCATTCTATTCACGAGCTGTGGAGATAGAGAACGTGGGTGAAGTGCCAGGAGGAGGTGTACATTTCACCTGTGAAACAGAGCGAGTCTAGAGGAAAATACTAGAGAGGCTGAAATTTGTTCCCACCCACAGCCTGCCTCTCCTTCCTGCCCAGACTAAAAGTCAGGTAACTTCCCACACACCAGGAGAGACCTGTGCCCACAGCAGGAAGAGGGCTGAGCAGGGCTGCCTTAGCACAGGGTCGTCCTCCCTCCTTCTATGTCCCCTGGGAATAGACCTCATTATAATATATTATATTGTATGTTAACTATGCTTATGTTGTATTGTTGTTATTACATGTTATGTTACACAGCTACAATAAAGTCATGGACAGAATCAGAAAGGATGTCAATCAATTATTATGCCCTGGCACTTGAAGGTGCACGCAGATAATCACAGAACCGGGTGAGTTCTGTCCTCTGGAATTTAAGTGACATTTGTCATGTGTCATTCCTGGCAGCAGCAGGCATCTGGGATCACCCAGGAATACATGCATGCGGCAGGCATTAAAGCCAAAACATGACTGTTAAAAGGCATGGTTGGGCTCTGGAATTTAAAAACTGATAATTAGCAAACTATTGTATTATTTCTTCAAATCTACACTTTTAAATTTACAAATTTGTTGGAGAGCTATGATGCAGCCTTGCATTTTGGTATCTGCTCTGAGAAGGGGGCTCTTGGTTGAGAACAAAAGGTCCTAATATTTCTGGTGGGGTGACACAATGATAGGGAAAGATCTCTTTTTGTGGTACCTAAACTAAAGGCAAACTGTTAAAAATGTCACAGAATTCTAACACTATATTGTAGGAACAGACAATTGCTTTTAAAATGCAGGAGGAAGTAAGACTTTTGAAAAATGTTTACTATGAGAAATAGAAAAAAAAAAGAAGCTTCTAGAAAGCAGATATTTCATGTTTGCAATAAACACAATGTCTTAGGGTTTCTATTGCTGTTAGGAGACACCATGACCACAGCAACTTTTGTAAAGGACAACATTTAATTGGACCTGGCTTACAGTTCAGAGATTTAATCCATTATCTATCGTTATAGCAGGAAACAGTGCAGCATGCAGGAAGACAAGGTGCTGAGGAGGAAGCTGAGAGTTCTATATGCTGAAGGCAGCAGGAAGTGAATTGCCACACTGGGCCTGGCTTGAGCATCTGAGACCTCAGTGCCCACCCCCAATGACACACTTCCTCCCACAAAGCCACACCTACTCCTTAAAGGCTACCTCCTAATAGTGCCATTCCCTACAAGTCTCTGGGGGCATCTTCAACCACCACAAGTAAACCAGAAGTAAGGAAAGTGAGCCTATGGGAAACTCAGTCTGTAAAGTATCCCAAGGGCCTGATCATCAGCACTCACAAAAAATGTTGGGTAGGGTGGTGTATGCCTGGATTAACACTCCCACCGATGAGGAGGCAGAGGCAGGAAGACTCCCTGAGCTCATGGGCCAGCCAGGCTACCTTACTCAGTGTGTTCCAGATTGAGTGAGAGACCCTGCCTCAAAAATAAGGTGGGGAGTGACTGAGGAAGACGCCCCTCACCGACCTCTGGCCTACAAATACACACTTGTACACATATATGCCTACACAAACACATACAAATAAACACATATATAAGCAATTTTTTAAAGAAGAAACAGGAAAATTAAGACAAGTTGTGTGCATGTGCATGTACGTGTGTGTGTGTGTGTGTGTGTGTGTGTGTGTGTGTGTGTGTGTGTGATAGAAGCTTTCATGTTGGGACAGCCTGAGGGAAAAAGTAATAAAGAACAAAAATCTAATCCATTTTCTAATTTAGAGAGGACAAAAAGGAGAGTGGATGCTATGAATTAATAATTCAGTCACACTGAGAACATACATAAAACCCATCCCTGGAGGCAGGGCAAAGGGCAAAGAAAGCATACATCTGAAGAAGTCAAGGAGTCTACACAGGGCAGAAAACAATGACAGAAATAAGAGACAGAAAACAATGAGCTACACCACAGAGCTCAAGCAAACATGGGGACTCCTGAAATAACCACACATAGAATCACAAGATTTTTCTGATTTTAAATTAGCTAACCCTGATGCCTAAAGAGACAACGTTAGTCTAGGGAGACTCCTGTGCAGATATATCGTTGGGAAGTATTTGGGGTGTTGGTTTATTTTGGTTGGTTGTGTGTGTGTGTGTGTGTTTCGAGCCACAGTCTCATGTAGCCCACGCCTGCCTGTCAACTCAGAATTCTCCTTTCTCCACCTCCCCAGTGCTGGCACAATATGAATAGGGGTCTGAGTGTGCATGCACACACGTGAAGCCTGAGGTTAAGCCTGCTCAGTAGTAACTCTGCCCCTTATTGATTAAGGAAGGGCTCCTCAACCAAGCTCAGAGATTGCCAGTACAGCCAGCTTGTTGCGGAGTTCCCTGTCTCCTCTGAGAACTGGAAATGCAGCAGCCATCAAGCCGATGCCGAGTGTATGTGAGGTCTGGGGTCCAAACTCTGGTCCTCACACTTGCTCAGCAGGTACCTTACCTATGAAGCCATCTCACCACCCTGTGAGTTTAGTTGTCAGGATAGAATAAAACAAATAATTAAATTAATTACTTCAGAAGCCCTGAAGATAAAATTGTCAAGATCACTCATTCAGAGGTCTAAATGTCAAAAAATAGATAAAAATGTCTATAAAGTCTTGGGGAAAAATTGTTTTAACCTTCAAAAGAAAAAGTGACAAAGTGTCTACCTAGCATTCACAAAGCCTTAACTTCCAAAATAGCAACAACCAAAAGCATTACGAAGAAAAGAACAACAAAAAAACAAAGAAAGAAAATGAAATTGCTATCCTGGAACTGAGTACCAGGGTTTCACAGAGATTGACAAGTACATCCCACGGCTAAAGATACTAAAGGTTTATGCCAACTGACAAAGAAAGAAATAAAAACAAAGAAGAAACAAGGAAAGCATAATTTAAGATGGCATATTTTAAGGGACTCTAAGTGATGCATCTAGGTTTTTAAGCAACTGTTGCAGGATATTTGATCACACTGTGAACCCTGAGATTGTGTTGTTTACTGGAAAACCCTGTTTCTAGTTGTGGTGTGGCTCAGCTCTAGCACATGCCTTTAATCCAAGAGCTTTCTGCTTATTGTAAATAGGATTAAATAGAGTCAACCATAGGTCAAGAGTCAGAGCAAGCAACCAGTCGACAGGGAGTGAGCACAGGAAAAAGCCATAGAGAGTGAGAAGAAGTCAGGAGACTGGATAGAGAGATGCACAGGAAGTAGAAAGGAGAGCCATTCAAGTTTGAACAGCTTTTAAGACAGCGTGGAAAATGAGAAGGGGCTTTTTCCTCCTGGGATGTAGGCTGAGCTGGAAGGTCAGCAAGGAGCTTTCTCTGTCTCTCTGAGCTAGTGGGCTTTCAACCCAGCATCCGGCTCCTGAGTCTTTACTGGTAATATTGAACACTTGAGATTTAAAAACAACAAGCAATAACTAGATTTAAATTGTAAAATAATTTTCAAAGAAGAAAGAATTTATGACAATAATAGCAACATTCAGAAAACCCCACCTCTTACATTGCATACCAAAATAAGCTCTAATGGGTCAATTTAAGTTTACTCAGATTAAGTATTTTTAAACTAGAGATATATACTTCCTTTAGTGTCAAAGGTTCACACATAGTGAAAACTAAAACTGGGAAGAGAGGGTAAAAATGACAAATACAGAAACAAAAAGACTGAAAACTTCCACAGAGTAAAACAAAAACAAGCACAATTAGATATTAATAAAACCTTTAAAATTTTTATGCACAAAGCATAAATTTCATATATGTAATATACATAACCTCATAAATCAGAAAAAATAAATTCTGGCCTCAGCAACACATATACTAAAATTGGAAGGGCACAGAGAAGATTAGCATGGCCCCTGCACAAGAATGATATACAAATTCGTATATATACAAGAATGATATACAAATATATATATATATATACAAATATATATATATACAAATATATATATATATATATAATACGTAACACTTCATATATATATCCCAAATATATAAAGAACTCAAGAAATTAAATAGCAATAAAGCAAATATCCCAATTAAAAATGGGATACAGAACTAAACAGAATTCTCAACAGAAGAATATCAAATGACAGAGAAACACTAAAAGAAATGATGAACATCCTTAGTCATCAGGAAAATGCAGATCAAAATGACCCTGAGAGTTCACCTTACACCCATCAGAATGGCTAATATAAAAAACTCAATTGACAACACATGCTGCAGAGAATGTGGAGAAAGGTGAACACTCCTTCTTTACTGGTAGGAACGTAAACTTGTACAACCACTTTGGCAATAAATCTGGTGCTTTCTCAGAAAACTGAATAGCCATACCTCAAGACCCAGCTCTACCACTTCTGGGTATACACCAAAAAGATCCTCCACTATACAACAAAGACATTTGTTCAACCATGTTCATAGCAGCTTTATTTGCAATAGCCAGCATCTGAAAACAACCTAGATGTCCCTCAACTAAAGAGTGGCTAAAGAAACTGTGGTATATTTACACAATGGAATATTACCCAACCATTAAAAACCAGGAAATCATGAAATTTGCAAGCAAATGGATTAAACTAGAAAAGATCATCCTGAAAGACACACATGGTATGTACTTGCTTATAAGTGGATTTTACTCATATAGTACAGGATAGACATACTTCAATGCACAGGTCCCAAGAAGATAAGTAACAAGGAGGACCTAAGGGAGGATGCATAAATAGAATGTGAAATAGAATAGACAGAGTTAGTGATTGAAGAGTGGGAACAAGGTAGAAGAGGGAGCGCAGGGAGAAATAAGGTGAAGAAATAGGGGGGAGGAAAGAAGGACTTCAGAGAAAAGAGAAACAGTGGGAGGGACATCTCTGTGACAAGCTGCAGACCTAACTCAGAATAGGCCTCTGGGAGGATATGAGGGGCACTCTAGCTGAGACTCCTAGTAGCAGGGGACATAGAGACTGAAGAGGACAGCCTTTGTCTAGACAAGACTCCTGGTGGATGGAGATCACAAATCCACCCCCACCCCACCCCCCCAAAAAACTAAAAACCTCAATCCAAAACTTACCCTGCCTATAAGACCTGCAGGGACAAAGATAGAACAGATAGAGCAGAGATTGAGAGAATGTCCAACCAATGCCGGGCCCAACCCTAAGACCCACCCCATGGAAGAAAGCCAACTCTATCACTATTAGTGATACTCTGATATGCTTGCAGACAGGAGCCTGCCAGAGTCGTCCTCTTAGAGGCTCTGCCAAGAAATGGCCTGAAACAGATACTGAGACTCACAGCCAAACACTGGGCGAAACATAAGGAGTCTACTAGAAAAGACAGGGGAAGAATAAATGGACCTAGAGGGGATGAAAGTTCCACAAGAAAACCATCAAAGCCAATTAACCAGGACCCAGAAGGGATTCTGCAGCACCAAGCAATGCATGGTCTGGACCTAGGTCCTCTACTTTAAATAGCTGATGGGCGTCTTAGGCTTCATGTGGACCCACTAGTTAGGGGAGTGGCAGATATCTCTGACATGGAATATGTTGCCAGCTTTTTGACCACTTTCCCCTGATGGGACTGCCTTACCAGGCCACAGGGGAGGAAGACGAACTCAGTCCTCATGTGAATAGATGAGCTAGGGTGTCTGAGTGTCTGGGTGTCTGAGGAAAAGGGGAAAGGGCATTCGGAAGGGAGGGTGGGACTGGCAGGAGAGGAGGAAGGGGCCTATGAGAGAGATATAAATTGAATTAATTAATTTTAAAAACTGAAAGAAAAATAAAATGCCAATGGAAAGATATTAAAAGTCAATTTAGAAAAGATAAATGCTAAAAATCTAGCACAGTGAGTAAACAAGTCCATAATAAGGCATCAACTTTACTCCTTAAGGATGAAGTTTTGAAAATGGGGATGGGGATACAAACCACCTCAGAGCTAGGGTCAGCTTTCACTCTAGCATGCTGCTAAAATTAGAAGAGGCATTGTGACAGATTGCCACACAACTCACAGCAGCATCTTCAATGCTCCACGATGAAGCACCTCTGCTTCTAGGAATTTATCCAAATAATCAGAGGCCTAAACATACTCAGGGCACAAGCCAAAATTAAAGATGATAAATAACCCACATGGCAAAAGGACAAAACAAGTACATTAAGGAAACATCTCTACATTCTACTACTGTGCCTCAAAAAGCATGGCACAGAAGAAAAGTAATTATGTCCACAATCTTCCAGATGTTGTTTAAAGCTGTCACTCTGTACCCCCAAAAAAATGCATAACAAAATTGCTAGACATATACATATAAACACATTGAGAATGGAAAAAAATTAGTAACCATCTTTTGGGTGTTGAAATGATTGGGAATTTTTATTTTCTGTGTATTCATTTTAAAAAGAGTAGTAAAAGTTCACAGAAACTAGTGTCTCAGTTCTCAGAGTCATGTATATAGGAATGTAATACAAGTGACATCTGAGCTCTGCCTACTCCCAGTTCTCAAACTGGCACAGGCCAGGCACAAGGCAGCATCACAATAACCAAAAAGAAAGATTGTTAAAGCAAACAGCAAGGCAAACTAAAAGTGAAGGTGCAGTCCCACCATTCTGGAAAATTCAGTGTCTAGACATTCCTGATGGGCCGCGATGGACAGTAGCTAACCGGAACATCCAAAGAAAGTCTCACGAAGTCACAAGAGCCAGCTCATCACCGCTGATATTGAAGCCCCAGTGGACACGTCAACGAATGGATACCAAGCCACAGTGAGCATCTGTGAAATGTCCAGATGCTCCCATGAAACATCCAGGAAGTCCAGCTCAGCTTGTGCTAACCATTTGGTTCCTTGTTTCTAACAAGTGACTTCTTAGAAACTCACTTATTGAATAATAATGAGGCAGAATTTTACTAGATTTATAATAAAAATGAAAGAAATATTATTTAAGACAATATTAATAGTAAAGAAAAATTCAACTACTTAAAAACTTTAGGTTAGTACTCCATATTATTAGGATATAAAAAACAGTTTAAGTGTTATCACAAATAAATGTTCCTAATCCCAAATGATAACTCATTTAAGATTTGCTTTATCGTTTTTAATTATGTGGTGTGGGGCACAGAGATCTATGTGGGCATGGGCTTGTGAGCACTCATAGAGGCCAGAGGCAGCCTAAGGAGCAAGTCAGAGGTGTCTGTGAGACACCAAAATAGATACCAAGAACCCAACTGAGTCCTCTGCAAAGGCAGTCCATGTGCTTAACCACCGAGCCACCCTTCAAGCCCCTAAAATATATATATTACATTTATTTATTTATATATAATTAGTATATATATTTAAAATCTGAATACTAGTTATTAATTTTTAAAAATGAGTTTGTGGCTAGGAATGTAGCTCAGTGGTAAAGTATAACATGAGTAAAACTATGAATTTAATTTATAATATCACACATAAAAATATTTTTAAAGTGATTTCCAAAGCTGCACTCAAAGGAAAATTCAAAGTATGAAATATTTTCACTATAAAGGGAAAGGAAAAAGCACATAGTAACTCAACTGCACTTCAAGACATCAGAAAGGAACAATAACTATTTTTTAAACACAAAATAGAGCACAGAAATACATTTAAGAAGAAGTAAATCCAAAAAGCCAAGGACAGACTCTGACAAAATTTACGTGAAAAGGAAAGATTTCATTGTTACGTTTTGAAAAACTCTTCGTGTATCTGTTCTTCTACCTTTAATGCATGACCTTCTCCTAGGCAATGGGAAATGTCCTGTGGGATACATGGAGAACCTGAAGAATTCTTACTGAAGGGAGAGAAGTAAGTGTTCCCCTTTAGAGGACAGATCTTGCTGAGTTACCAGAGAACTTTCCAGATAGCGCGTAGACGCCTCCTTCCACACTCAAACACCTCGCTGGAAGATACTTTCTCAGTCCCTTTCCTCTGCTTACCATAACTTACCATGAAGCTTGCTTTAATCAAGGCTGAATTTGCATTGGGGTGAAAAGGGCAGGCTTGAGTTCTGGCTTACTGAGAGCAGATTGGGACAATCCCAGGGTAAGTTCAAGGTTGCACTGACAGGAGAGGGTTGCCACCTCCTCCAACTTTGGCTGTGGTGCTAGCTAGATGGAACTGAATGACAGGGGCAAACATTTCAGTGACAGACTAGGTCAGACTGAAAGAAAACCTTCAACAGATCTCCAAGAGACAGCATCGGGATGCTTTCAGGCTTCAATGGCCAAAGAGAACTAAAAAGCCACGGGCTGCTGTTCTTACAACTGTCATTGACAGGAAGCTGGTCACCAAACAGAAAAGGGACTACGTGGCTGGTCACCAGACAGAAAAGGGACACGACTTTGCAGAGAGGGGAATTAAAGCATGCCACACCCCTGAACTTGCACTTTTACTCTCCCCACCCCATGTATCTAGATGTCACCTTAGAGTAATAAGAGGTAATAAAAAGCAATCTGATAAAGGAAGTTTGTAGTTCAAGAGAGAACAGATGTTATCAGAAAGAGTTGCTTAAATTGTCACACACTCATGCACAAAGACACACACACATACACACCACCTTGTCCAGAACCTATAAACACACACACACATACACATAGGAGATGAAGTTTGAGAAAGGGCTTTTGGCTCCATGTGACCTGTGTTTGACTCTTGGCTGTACAACACTATGACAACAGGGAATTAATTTGTGTGTTTCCATTTTTCACTCTATCAAATGAGGGTAACAGTTTCTTTTAGCAGTTTGAAAGCATAAATGAGCTGATAAATATAAAATGCTTAGATCAGTGTCTGCCACACAGGACGTGCTCATGGCATGTTGGCGACCCTTATTATTTTTAACATCAGTAACAAGGAAGAGCAGACCGGCCTCTGAGAAATGAAGAAATGGTGATTTCTCTTCATAGCCAAGCACTAGTGTATTCAAATTTACTCCCCTGATTCATGAATAATAAAAATCATGAATGAAAAAGATATAAATGAAAAAGATATAAAATAGATCAAAGGACAAAGAGGTTTTGTTTTTCTTTCTTTTTTTTTTTTTTTACAAACACAGCAGTCTGGTCTAAATGAGAATCTTCTAAAAGTGGATGATGTTCGATAAAAATATGAATTACCAATATTAGTTCAAGAAGTCTGCCAAGTAAAAGAGAAGGATGCCAACGAAATAAAAATTCATCAGTGGCCTTGGGAAAGACCTGGGGCTGGACAACTGAAGGAGTACATGCTTTTGAACTTCCCAAAGGAAAAACCTCAGGATGAGCAATAGTTCAACGACTTGACTTGCAAACCTCAGTTCACAGGAAAACTACTCCTCCCGTGTCCATAAAGTTGGGCCAAATCGAGCTACACATTAGTGTTTCTCTCAAAAGTTTCATTGCTCCGGGATTTCTCAGTGTCTCTAACGGACTATGGCATTCAAATGAGGTATCTGTGACAGCCTGAAATAGCCCCTTACTGCAGACTTTCTTCCAGGCACCTCCAGATCTTTCTGAGGGCCAGGCCCAGAGCCTTGTGGGAAGGAATGGCCAGTCATGCAATCAGAAGATTAAGGTGGATCCAAGAGCCAAGACTATGCAGCAGTGTGAAGAGGAAGGGAGATAAAGAGAGATGAGGGGGATAGTCTACACAATCACCATCGCAATAGCAAAGCAGAACAGGACACAGCATGTTCCATGGATGGAAGCAAAAATTGATTCAACCCTTCTAGGAAGCAATTGAAAAGAAATGTGATTCGGAACGTTAAGCTCACATTCACTTTGACCTAATAATTCAACTTTCTATCATTCCCTTTTAGGAAATGACTCTGAAATGAAGATAAAATTTACATACAAGGATAGATTTAATAGAATATATCTCCTAGCAAACAAAACAGAATGAAAATAGGAAACCATTTAAATAAATAAAGGAAGAATTATTTAAATAGACTACAGAATATTAATATGGTGAAAACTAACAACAAGCAACCTTCATGGGGGTGGTAAATCACGTCCAGGTCCTTTAGGGAAAAAAAGATGACACGCAAGCTACAAAGTACAAGCTCACGTGTATTTTTCACATATAAGAAACACACATTGCAGGGACATAAAAATAAACAAATCCCAACCTGAAAATGACATGAGTTTGGAGCTCTAAGTAAATATTAATTTATTTTATGTATCTCCCCTATGTCTTTCTGTATTAAGTTGTAGTATATCTATAATCAGAAAAATAGATACCCAACCATTACATTACATACATACCCAACATTCATACAATAAGGAAAAAATTAAGTCCTCATTTATCCAAGACAAACACACGGAAGAACTGCGCTCCTTCAAGCCGGAATCTCAACACGGATACACTTTAATGCACAGAAAACAAAAAACACACCGACCAAATCCCTCAGGAAAGACAGGCGAGCGACTGCTCTGGAGTTTTCCACACACCATTTTCTACAGAATTCAGCATCTGTCTTTTAAAGTGTGGCTGTTTTGGTGTCTTGTTTGGAAGAATACTGACATGGAGAGAAGTGTTTTTAAAGGGCTGACATGCATTCTCTCTCTCTCTCTCGGTCTCAATCTTGGTCTCTGTCTCTCTCTGTGTCTGTCTGTCTCTGACACACACACACACACACACACACACACACACACACACAGTGTAGTGTAATCCCAAGCAAACCACTCAAGCGAATCCCACGGGTGCAGCCTTGCCGAGCTCTAACCCACCCGCCCCTGAGGCACTGGTACCTGCTCCTGGTCTGTGGTACTGGGGTGGTCGGGCTCTGGAGCATCCTCAACACCGCTGAGGTGCCAACGCCGGCGTCCTCCCCGCTTTCCTCCACCGACAGCCTGCACAGCCAGAGAGAAAACTAAGTTATTCCAGCGCGTTGGAGACCAGTGGCTTGCAGGCTGGCCATTGCGCTCCAAGCGTAACCAGGGCATCTGTGTTCACCCCAACTCCCGGGATAGGTCCGCGGTGTCGGAGTTAGGGAGGGAAAACGCCTTCGGACGCGAAACCCGGGAGTAGAATGGGAGAGTCCTGGAGCCCGGCGAGAAACCTCGACGGCAGGTTCCACTCCGCAGCTCCGTCGCCCACAGCGACACTCTCAGGAACCCTCCCAACCCCGACGTGTCACTGCCCACTTCGTACCACGCCATTCGGCCAAGCGTCGCCTCTCTGCGACCCTCGATCCCCACTCCACCCTCAGGGAGCTGCTTGGCCAAAAGTCCGTGAGCGGCCACAGCCACACGGGTCTTCCCGGGGGCTGGCAGGGAATCAGAGCCCAGGGCACGGCGTGGGCGCACCAGACCTTGCAGGTGGAGCGAGCTGAGGCCGGGGAATTACCTGGAGCGGGCGGGCGCGTCCGCCGGGCACCAAAACAGACGCAGGAGGAGCAGCAGCAGCAGCAGGCTGCCTGCCAGGGCGAGCAGCGTGGCCCCCAGGCGCATCCTGAGCCACGGGCGCCCTCGCCGCCAAAGCTGCCCGGGCGAAGCGCAGCCCGGGCGGCACCGGCTCGCCGCTCCGGTCGCCGCCGCCGCCGCCGCCGCCACCGCGGCCGCTGCCACGCACACCCCCAGCTTTCAAAGGCGGTGGCGCGGGCCCGCGCTCTCGGGGTCTGCCCCGAGCCCAGCCTGCAACAGCGCTGCCGGGCGCCGAGCCGAGGATGCCGCGTCCCGGCTCGCTCGCTTCCTCCGAGCCAAGCCCCGGCCGCCGCCGAAGCTGGCGGTCAAGGGATGACGAGCCTCCGAGCCCGCCGCCCGTCCTCCCGGAGGCGCTCCGAGCCGCTGCGGGCTCTGGTCGCTGCAGCCGCCACTGCCTCCTGCCGCCGCCGCTGCCGCCGCCGCCGCCGCCGCGCGGGGTCACCTGAAGGTTGGGGCACCAGCTCTCGACTCCGCGCTGATTGGGCTCCAACTTTTCCGCGCTCTCACCTTCGCCCGGGTGAGCAAGCGCCCGGCCCCTCGGAAGCCCCGCGCAGCTCACCCAGTCACCCCGCGACTCTGCTGAGTTGCTGGGGCCCCGAGCTAGGACCTGGAGGACTGAAGGGAAGAGCAGAAAGGGACCCACTTCAAAAAGTTTGCAAAGGGAGTTGCTCGGCTGGATCCTCCCACGTGCCTGAATGAGCTGCTAGGGGACTTGGTGACGTTGGCGTAGTCACCTTCCTTCAATAAAATGCAGACAGCTGGCACCAGATAGGAAGTATTTAAGGGTGGTGAGTCCCCACACCTTTGGCCTGCCATCAAGGATTGTTTTATTGGATACCCTCGTATCCGGCACGTTGCCTTATCCATGACCATGAGTGTAACTGCATCATAAAGGCAGAACTGAGTAGTGGTGACAGCGAGCCTATAGCTCTCAAAACCTGAAATATTCACTGTCCTGTATTTTCCAGAAAAACAGATTTGCCTACTGCCCATGGAGGCAATCTCTGCGTTTTGAATTCTTGCCTAACCGAGACCCTAATTGGAAATATAATGAACACTGGAGTTTCGGCCAATGAGGGGGAAATGCATCAACCAATTATAGGCTGCCAACTCCTCACACCATGGAAATAAGTCAGTTACCTAGACATAGCCAATTAGGTGATCCCTCTACTAGGATTGCTTCTGCCTGCTCCCCCCCCCCACCCAAGCTTCCCGCCCAGCCCATTGCTGTGCCCCAGACTCTACTGTCTCTGAGTGCGGCCTAACTCACGAATCCTTCTTTGTCCAAGGAAATCACTGACACTGAGTTGTCTAAAATATTTCTTTTCCCGTTGCTATAGATTGATAGGCAGTTCGTGTATTGAAACTCTAGCCTCTAAGTGTGATTGGATCCAAAGGGTCAATCTCTCTACATGAGGCTGGGGAGATGGCTCAGTGAGCACCAGAGTCTGGACGGTCTGGTTAGGTCAAGGTAACACCAACCTCTGGCTTCCGTACACACGAGTGTGTGTGTGTGGGGGGGGGGGGGATACTTTCTCACTACTCTGTGATGGTACAGCCAAAGGCCAGCTTGCTGTCCACCAAGAGCTGAGCCTCACCATGACTTCACAACGCTGGAACTCTGGCCGTGAACTTTAAAAAGATTGTGTCCTCCTCCAGGGGAAAACTATTCATGAGCCGCTGTAACTGACTAGGATTAGGATGCCTGCTTCAGATCACGTTGAACAGTATTTCATTTGTTTGTCAGAATCGCATTTATTGATTAGAACCCTGCTTGATAATGTGATATAGTCTGGCTTTCCAATTATTCACTTACAAAGCTGTCCCAACTCTTTCAACCTTAAGCTATCCTGTCCAGCTACAGTCCATTATCTGCCCTAGCCCCCAAGGCTGGGCCAAGCTTCCTGTACTGTATCTGTAACTCTAGAGCACTGACGCACATCAACAAAGCATAAACCTCACAACATCTGTCAATGAGTGCTTATTTTCATTACTTGTTCTACTTTTGAACAAGATTTTGAGATTATTTCAAAATAAACCTTAGTGTTCTATCATTGTGAGAAAAAAAATCTTAATTTAAAATGGTTTTTCTACTGTATGGTTTTGGCCTTTTTGTCCAAAATCAGGTGCCTGTAGGTGTGTGGGTTCAATTCTGGGTCTTCTATTTGATTCCATTGATCCACCAATCTCTTTCTATGCCAGTACCATGCAGTTTTTATTACTGTTGCTCTGTAGTATAGCTTGAGATCAGGGATGGAGATACCTCCAGAAGATCTTTTATTGTACAGGATTGTTTTAGCAATTCTGGGTTTTTTGTTTTTCCATATGAAGTTGAGAATTGTTCTTTCAAGGTCTGTAATGAATTGCGTTGGTGTTTTCATGGGAGTTGAATTGAATCTGCAGAGTACTTTGGCAGGATGGCTATTTTTACTGTGTTAATCCTACTGATCCATGAGCATGGGAGATCTTTCCATCTTCTGATATCTTCTTCAATTTCTTTCTTCAGAGACTTGAAGTTTTTTTATACAGGTCTTTCACTTGCTTGGTTAGAGTTCCACCAAGATACTTTATGTTTTGGGTTTGTTTGGGTGGTTGTGTGTCTATTGTTAAGTGTGTTGTTTCCCTAATTTCAGCTATACCAGTCTCGAGCATATACTCAAAAGTTGCTCTACCATACAACAAGGATATTTGTTCAACCATGTTTGTAGCAGCTTTATTCATAATAGCCAGAACCTGGAAACAACCTAGATGTCCCTCAACCAAAGAATAGATACAGAAATTGTGGCACATTTACACAATGGAATTCAATTCAGCTATTAAAAATAAGGAAATCATGAAATTTGCAGGCAAGTGGGTGGAACTAGAAAAGATCATCCTGAGTGAAGTAACTCAGAACCAGAAAGATACTCATGGTATAGACTCACTCATAAGCAGATATTGGTCATATAATATAGGATAAACATACTAAAATCGACAGACCTAAAGAAACTAAATGACAAGGAGGATGCTAGGGAGGATGCTTAATTCTTATTCAGAAGGCAGATAGGATAGACACCAAAAGTGGTAGAAGAGAAGGAACAAGATGGAAGCCTACATAGATGACCTCTGAAAGACTCCGCCCAGCAGGGGATTGAAGCTGATGCAGAGACCCACAGCCAAATTTGGGGCAGAGCACAGGGAGATTTATGGAAGAAGGGAGGATAGAAGGACCCAGAGGGAACAGGAGCTCCACAAGGAGACCAACAAAGCCAAAAAATCTGGGCCCATGGGGGCCCGCAGACGCTGATGAATCAACCAAGGACCACATGTGGAGAGGACTTAGACTCCCTGTTCATATGTAGCCCATAAGTAGTTCAGTCTTTATGTAGGCTTCCTAGTAAGCGGAGCATGTGCTATCTCTGACAGGAACTCAGTTGCCTGCACTTTGATCACTTCCTCCTGGTGGGGAGACCATGCCAGACTACAGAAGAAGAAGATCCAGGCAGTTCTGACTGGATTTGATAGGCCAGGGTCAGATAGTAAAGGAGGAGGACTCCCCCTTTCAGTGGACTAGGGGAGGAAGATGGAGGAGGGAGATGGAGGGAAGGTGGGACAGGGAAGGGCTACAATCAGGATATAAAGTGAATAAGTAGTAAAAAAAATAAAACAAAATACAAAATGTATCTTGAAGGGCCAAAGAGATGGCTCAGTGAGTAAAGTGGAGTACTAGAATTCAGATCACTAACTAACACCCACACAAAAAAGCTCAAGCTTATAACTCCACCACTGGGGCACAGTGAGAAATGGCAGAGCTCTAGGCCTCACTGCCTAGCCACTCTAGCCAGGTTTACAGAGAGACTCTGTGCCATTAATATCATAGAGAACAATAGAGGAAGACATCCACGGTTATCCTCTGCCTCCCACCACACACACACATACACACACACACACACACACACACACACACACACAGGATCCTAGGCTCCCTGTGCCCATCTGAATCTACTGTAAAAATACTTGGTTGAATCCAAACCATAAGTCTACACACAATAGTTGCTCAGTGAGTGGTCAATGATGTGAAACCATTCCCAAACTACTGTTATTCTTAAGGAGAAAAGGGATCATGAAGCTGAAAATAAATGTGACTAGAGATATGATTTCCTTCTACAGCTCACCACCATCGTTAAAATATTTACTAATCAGGAAAGAAGAAGGCTGCGGGCTTTCGGGGGACACTGCCATTATTAGCGGGCCAGTTGCTTACCGTGGAAAGGATACTGAGTAGCGCTACATTCTGACAGTGCCAACATGATGCAGTGTGGCTGGCGAGGGCTCCATGGATAGTGCATTTGCTCAGGAAGCCTAACAGCCTGAATTTGATCCCTGAACCCCTGGAGGAAGGAAAGAGCCAACTCCTTAGGGCTGTCCTCTGACTTCCATTGACACACGGTGGCACACATGTGTCTACACTCAGGCACACACACATCCTGTGAATGTGCGCGCGCGCACACACACACACACACACACACACACAGACAGAATAAGAATAAAACCAAAATTTTAAAGAATAAAGGTGACACAAAGTAAATGAAATGGTGATGCAGTTCTACATGGTTAGAAGTTTCCTCCGTCTCTTAGGTGCTCAGGTGCAGCACAGTTATCCTTGGCAGTGGAGGAGCTGCCTGGCCTGGGAGGACCTCCGAAACTGTGCTTCTGTGCACACAACTCATACCAACAACGATCTGCTGGAAAGGAGAAGGGCGTTAGGGTATGAGCCAGGAAGCTTCAGTTTTACCTAATTTACTAAAGTGTAATATTTCAGCACAGCTGGGCTCAAGGCAACTGCAAAAGTCATCCATGTGCTGGGTCCCCTGAACACCCTTGCTGCAAATAGTTACTTTCTATCATGCCAATGGCTGCAGTCAGGGCGCTCACAAAAGCCCATTTTAATTGGAAAACCAAGTGTGAATTTGCAATGGGAATTCAGAGCTGAGCCTTAAAATTTGACAGTGGGAAACGTTACCATAATCTTTG